CCCCTGAACACGGCCCGTGTTGAACCATCCTTAGAACTCAGGCTCCTGTATGCCCTTACAGTGCCGAACAGCATGCCCATGTTGCGAATCAAGTCCTATTTTGGGTTGCGAACGCCAGCCAATCCCCACTACATACATGGGCCCACATAAGATGATTTCCTGACATGCAGATCAACTTCTAATCCTATTTAAGCGCATGGGGGAGTCCTAATTGAGAAGAAATTCAAAGCCTAAACAATTTCCTATTTCCAAAAGATTTCGTACGTAATGAAGACTCAATTTCCTAAACGAAGTCAGATTTTCTCCTAGGAAGTCTATATAAAGAGAGAACCAATTCATTGTAAAGGGATCTCTGGTTCTATAATCTTTTATTTTATTATTCTTCTCTCTTTAAGACTTCAAGTGATCAAGCATTGTGTGAAGATTGAAGGACGCCGCCCACGTTATTTGATTAGTTTTTATCTCTAAACTCTTATCTTGTTTTCACTTTTCATTATTCACTTTGATTATGGAATTATTATCAAGTTTAATTGAGTTTTATTTAATTATTTTAAATTGAGTTTTTATTTAATTTATTATCTCGAACTAAATACTCTTTCATACTAGGAATTTAATTTGTAGCTTTAATTTCTTTCCAAAATTATAATATTAGATTTGTTTTTCTTTGTTTAAAGTATAATTTAATTTATTGAGCCTTGATGCTTCCAGGCAGGAGTTTCATCCCTTGGATTGATTTATTTCATTAATCACTATTGGAAGAAGGTGTTTTTTGTATGAAAAACGGTAATAAATTACCCATGGAATAATAAACTTGATGCGGGAAGCTATATGATTTGACTCATGGGGGTTTTCATAACGTTAACAACCTTTAGGGGTTTAATGATTCATTAAACAAAACCATAAAACTTAATTATTTAATTCATTGTTTGATTTTCACTATTGGAAGATAGGTAATTTAAACCCGGGTTAAAATAGCTGACAATACATAGAGAGGCTTATTAGTGATTTTTAGGGTTATTTCCCCCTACTTTTATTTCCCCTACTTGAACAATTAAAATTGATTAACAAACTAATAAAATAAATTGGATAGAATTAAGTGAAGTCAAAATCTCTAGTAGTTTTTAATCGAAGTCAAAACCTCAGGGGCACGTCTAGTGATTTCGTACACTTACGAAAATCACTGTCAAATTTCAAGACTCAAGAAGGAACTTTCTGCAAAAAGGAGGCTAAAGGATTTACAGTTGATGCTTTAGAAATTTATCCTTGTGATAACATGAAATTTTTGCATCTGTAACCATTAATGAGCTTTTCAAAGTTTTGCATCTGTAACCATTAATGAGCTTTTCAAAGGAAAGGGAATTTTCTTTTTTTCTAAAGGTTATTTTATTAAATTTTGAGAAAAAACATGATGAGGAAATCTTTTCTATCTTGTGGCATGTTAGGATTTGGATTATGGGATTGTGTATACTGAGACGATTTTTGCCCGATTGACTGTTCCATGCATTTAACAAACTATCTAATGAGATTTGGTATTTGGATAAAAAATAAACTCCCTCTCACTTTGTTTATTGAAAATATAAGTATTTATATACAACTAAATATATTTATAAATATCTTACTATCTAATAATCTTAACACGCCCTCCTCAAACTGAGCATGCTAATGCTCAGCTTGCATATAGATAAACACCTATTATATATATGTATAATTTTTTTAAAAAATGGTATTTCTTATTAACCTCACTACTGCGGCACCAAGTTTCAAAAACCAAAAACCAATGCCACACAACACCATCTTTGTAGTCTTTGCAGGTCCACACTCGATGAATCTACAAGCTGAATGTTGTGTGCAATTTTATCATTAGAGTTAGCTTCTAACTCATCTTCTGCATGCAATATAAACAATTGATGGGGCTCTTGTCCACCATCCTCTCCATTACTAAAGAGTCTGCAATCTTTGTTCCAATTCTTATGCGCCAATTCTTTTATGCAGCGAAAAATATCCATCAGCATTCACTCTCAGATACATCACTCTCAGATAAACCCAATTGAAGTATATAATCAAGGGACTGTAGTACAAGTAATAAGACAACATATAATCATGTCACAGTGATAAATACCCTTCCTTTGTATTTCTCTCATTTTTCTTATTCAAACCTTTCCCCTAGTCCATCTACAGTGGTATTTAGCTCCACAAAATCATATAATCCAATCTTCCAAGGCTCCATATAACTAACCAAAACTGAAAATACCTACGAAGCATTTCTTTGTTGAAGTTCCGACTGGACAAAATAGAAATATCCTCAAAAAAATCTATAAAATGAACTTTGAATCGATGAATTGCATGAATTCCATGAATCATCACATATAGAATCATTCACAAATATAGTGAATTCCTTCAATTTTGCATCACATTCCCTTGATTTCCTATCACCAATGGTCTTCGAAACATCCATTTTGCATTATAGTGCCAATTGCTCCCTCAAAACATTATACAACTGATTATTTAAGCATTAATACTTTCAAAAGAACAACACCTTGAGCTTTAGAATCAGGTTCCCCATATCATAAAAGCCATGGATTTTTTTTTTTTTTTTTTTTTTTTTTTTTTTTTTTTTTTTTTTTTTTTACTAAGGTTAATTTTAGGTTTGCCCAAACAGGAAAATAAAAACAGGAAGATATGAAAAAAAAAAGAAAGAAAACCGGTGGACTGAATGAGATTGATTTTGAGTTTGAGGGCGTGAAAGAAGAGGACAGAAAATAAAGAAAAAAAACCATTTAAGAACAAAGATTTACAAGTATGAAGAGATTAACAATTGATCAACGTGTCAAGGTCCAACCATATCAAAAGACCAATCCAAATATCAGGTCATTTAAACTGAAATACTCCACAGTATTTTCAAGTAAATCAATGATAAGATAAGCTGGGAAAACATATCAAGTAATCAATGATAAGATAAAGTGGAAACACTCCACAAATCAATCAAGGTAATGCTTGATTCTATTGAATCTAAGCACAAATCAAATGTATACCGAATAAAAACACTAAAATCAATGGTAATAAGAGGGATTAAAACCCTAAAATCAAAATTAATTGACCAATAAACCTCAAAGTAAAGGCAAATATTATAAACATAAGAGAACAATCTCAAAGGCAAATCAATCAAGGTAAATTCCAAAAAAAATGTAGAATCAAAGTAGAAATTTCTGGCAAACTCAACTAGAAACTAAGACGATATTCAATCGAATTGAAATGGCATCAATGAAATCAACAAGTTAAATGAATGAAACGATGAAGAGACTAACCTCTGATTTGGATGGATAATGATGATTTGATTTATTCTCCCACATGATATATTCTCCCACATGATATTACGAAAGATACAAATCGATTTGAAAAAGAATGAAATGGAGAAAAATGGAAAGTAATCGGAATAAGAAAAACCAAAGGAAAGAAAACTTGAACGACATCTGGGAAAAAAACCGATAAAGAAACCATTAAACTATTGATTCCAATAGAGGAAGAAAACAATAGGAAAAAACACAAGAAAGTAGAGGAAAATATGAAACAAATCTGAGTAACTGTTTTTGTTTTTACGTTTGGTTAGAGAGAAAAAAAAGCTCTGGATACAATGATTGAGATTTGGTATTTGGGTAAAAAATAACTCTCTCTCATTTTGTTTATTGAGAGAATATAAATATTTAGATACAACTAATTATATGTATTTAGATACAACTAATTATATGTATAAATAATTTTACTATCTAATAATCCTAATACTATCTTCTCCAAAAACTATAATTTAATTTTCTCATTAAAATTCTAGTCTTTTCCAAACTCTAACTTATTTCATTTTGTAAGCGAAATCTTTTGGGGTGGTGATTGGTTCTTAATTTTGGAAATTGGAGAGATTTTGGTTCTTATGTTTGTCCTTGTTGATTTTCTTAGATGAAAGCTATTTTCTCAGTGAACAAACAATCAAAGAGAGAAGAGGAAGAAGGTATTTTGGTGAAAAAATTTTCTTCTCGCTTTAGATCGTTATATAGTGTAATTTTTATGGTGAAGAAAAATCAAACTTGATACCTCCCACTTTTTAAATCTTCTATAAGATGTGAGAAAATCAATTAGATCATATTTAGTCAGCGGATTGTTCCTCAAATGAACATAGAAGAAAAAGAAAAAGAAGAACAGTAAATAACCAGATTGTATTAAAACATTTTTTAGTCCTTGGCATGGGAGTGTTTGGTGATATAGACTTCAAATAACCGGATTGTAGTAAAACATCTTTTAGTCCTTGGCATGGAAGTGTTTGGTAATATAGACTTCAAATACATTTTTCTTAGGTAAAAGATGCAATATTTCCTTTTATAACATCCTGCCATTAAGCTTATAAAGATGATATCTAATTAATGCAATATTTCCTTCAAATACATTTTTTTTTCTGTTAAGAGAAAAAAAAAAAAGAGAAAAGAAAGAAAAAGGAAGCAAATTAATAAATCTATGTTAAATTAATGTAATCAAAGACATTACATTAAACAAATAGGACAATAATAATTAAAAGAAAAACCTAACATAAATGGAATATCTAAGCTGCTATTAAGGATGGGATGGATGCAATTAGAGTTAAAATTAAATACATATAAGCGCAACATATACAAATAGGACAAGATTGATATTGACACATTTATTTATTTTTAGTTTTCTTTCTATCTCATTCTGAATTAATAGCTTTTATCTCAGCATTAATTAATTTATCTTATGATTTATTGATAAATCTAGGCACAATGTTGTGCATTTATGCGGCTTTGATTTATTGTAAATCTAGGCACAAGTTGTGCCATTTATGGGCTTTCAAAACAACTTTGCAATTTTAGGATTTTAATATTTATATTGTTAAATGCTTCCAATTTAGCTCTTAACTTTTCTAACACTTAGATTTTAAATTTCATCAAACACAACCTTAGTCTCAAGTAAAGCTAGTTCAAAAATACTCTCAACTCTTAGAAAAAGAAAATCTACTTATTATAATCATGCAAATGCCAAACTTGAAAGTTGAAAGAAAAGCTCAACAACATCCACTCAAGTTGATGCCATTGTTGTACAAAATGTTTCACTAAATAGCTACAATTTTTTATGGCTAACAGAAATGAAGAATCTTTTGTTTTAGTTTGGAACCCAAACAATAGTATCACTATTAAGGAAATGACAAACCGGTGGACCTCCTGGTTTAACATGGAGGACATGAAAGGCAAAATGCTTTGGGTTCCAAGCTGATGTATCTAAGTGGCAAACAACTAGTGCTTTAGCTTTCGAGCCATCAGCACCCACCAAAGGAATCATATAAACATTTGTATTCATAATTCTATGGCAGTAAAAAACAGCATATGCGTATCTCTCCTTATGGCAGACAATTTGCTTTTCACCCATCATTCTGATTCCTTTTAAAATAGTATACTCTTGTTTTACATTCTCTTCTTTTGCTTCATTAGTAAATACCTCAATATTTTTTCCAAATTTTGCAATGACATAATCTACCAATGACTCTAAAGATATAGCACAATACTTGTCTTCTCCTGTAATCCCCGGTGCCTCACATTCTTTGATCGTTTGCTTCATTATTTCAGCTTCTTTTGACATGGGTTTTATTGAAAAATGCTTCAGAATTTCAAGTAATCTTTTGCTGGAAAAGGGTATAATTTTTGCAATTTCATGTGGTAAGAAATTAGAACCATTTGTAGATTTTGTAAAAACAATGTTCATCCTTTTGCCAGCAACAAGATCCTTATTCAAGAAGTATATAGTAGTTGTGTTGAAAGTCTCATTTTTCTTGAAATTTTTCGATTCGGACCAATACCCAACTCCATAGGTTGCTCTGATACCACCTATATTACCAATTTGCAATTCTGATTCTGAAAAGGAACTTCTGTTTCCTGCTGCTTCTGTTATTAGATTACAATTACATATAAACAAGAATTATATAATTTTAGGTCTATGAATATCACATAAAAGGTAGTGTAAAAATCAAGTTTATAAGCAAAAGCTACTTTTTCAAATAGTGTAAAAATCAAGTTTATAAGCAAAAGCTACTTTTTCAAATGGATTGTTTGCCATATTAATATAGAAAAAAGAAGATGTATTAACTAACTAACCTGCAGGCTCTAAAAGTTCTTGTAAAGCATTTGGCAATGGAGTATTTGGTAGCATAGATTCCCAATACAGCTCCGCTGGTAGAATAGCATTACTCCCTCTGATAAAAACCTGCAATAATTTGTTTTATATGTAGAAACATATATAGTAGTTAAGGAAAGAAACATAAAATATTCTCAAGAAACTAAATTAAGTAAAGAATTAATTAGTAGTTAATACTCACACAGAGTAAAGCAAAGACGGGAAGGAGATGAAAGTGCTTCATATGATAAACTGGAGCACAAAGTAATTAATATATTGAAATTTGAAACATCTAGGCTATATGAAATACAATAGAAGTATGAATATATACGCAGAAAAGGAAACTATTTCAACCACAAAAACGCAGAAAAAGGAAACTTATTGTCAACCCACAAAATTGAACAAAAAAAAAAAAAAAAAAAAAAAAAAAAAAAAAAGGATCTTGGAAGGATATCCTTGTGCAAATTGACTAAAAAATATTTGTCAAAAAAAAAAAAAAAAAAAAAAAAAGAATCTGAAGATACTCCTTGTGCATTGACTAAAAATATTGTCAACAAAAGTGTCTGTTATTCGGTTGATAAAATTCTCATGATAAAGACTTAGTTCGTAGACTTTAATTGTTTGATAGTATTTTTCTTTCTTTTGATTTGAAGTGAATGGTTCACAGCCAAACTACACCTATTATGTAGTCTACATTATTCTAGTATAAATTAAGAAAAAGTCATTCCACTTGAATACTAAAAAGTTAGATCAATAGAAGTGTACAGCATCTCGAGGTGAACTTTATACAAGATTAAGAGTTGAAAAATTTAGAATCTCTAGTATTGGAATAATTCCCCTGAACATCATTCCGACCCGAGTGTGGAAATACAAATGTGCAAACAAAAAAAAAAATCAAGCAATTTCCACCTTTACGCTATAACTAGGGGTAGAGCTAGACTCCATAGTTAGGATATCAAAAAGAAAATTGGACTATTTTAATGGAACAAAATTTAAGAATTTAAGAAAATTAGATTCCACTACGCACAAAATTACACTCCACTAACTCCAACTTTCATTGCGTGCGCAACAATGCTGGTTAATCTTTACCTTAGTGTGTAAATAGTCAGTTATAGGGGCGTGCAAATGCAATGTTTGGTTCCAAACCAAATTGAAGACCAAAATTTCATTTTTCTTAAACTGAAACCACCTCAAATTTGTTTTGGAACCAAACCAGTCATCGATTCGGTTAATTTCAATTAATTATGGGCGAAATCACATTTGTTGCATAACTAAAAATTGAAATCGAAATTGTCTAAAATATCAAATTGAAACTCCTTGAATATCCAAAAAATCGAACTAGATTGATCTGGATCGATTTGTCAATTTTAATCAAAATTTACTTAACCCTAATCGATTAATCAAAATCAAATCAAAAGAAATGAAATTTTTTAATACCTAAATTGACTCAGTGACTTCACGTAACTGAATTGAAGTAAACTTAATCAATTCAATTCAATTTGATTTGATTTATGTTTTGGTTTTTACTTATGTTGATGCATAAAGTTAGATTTGGTTTTCAGTTTTAATGAAAATTGAACTGAATTAAAAAAAAAAATTCAAAATGAAGAGTTTGAATTGATTTTGTCGATTTAAAAGAATTCTACTTATCATAGTCAACAAAAGTGGCTATGATTTAGTGGGTAAAATCTTAAGACAAAGAAAGACTTGAACGTAGACTTTAATTGTCATATAATAGTTTTTTCCATGGTTATGGGAATCCGACTAGGTCGACCAATCCGGCCCGTTTAAGTGGGAAGTAAATTATGATTCAGCCTTGATTGAATAACTAAGATGAATGAATGGTTAAAGAATTAGATAAAAACCAAGAAGAATTGGTGAAAACCGGTGAACCGAACTGATATTCCCAACACAGCCCAACACATCAAACATTGTTTTTCTATGCATGTGCTTAGGGGTGAGCATTCAGTAAATTTAGTCAATTTGAATAACATTTTAACCGAACCTTTTTTTATTTAATCGAACTTAATCGAATCATTTTGATCAGATTAATTTTGATTATTAACTGCACCGAAGATAAATAAAATGAAGATCTATTTAACCGAAATTTGCGATTAATCAACTATAATTGAAATAAAAATTAATCGAAATTATTAATTACAATTTAATCAAAATAAAAATTAATATATTTTTAATTTCTAATTTTATTATCTACATCGTTTTGAGAGTCAATTAATTTGATTTATTCAATTTAATTAACTTTTAACTGAAATTTTAAATAATCACCAAAAATTTAATTTTCTTGAATCGAATATTTATTCACTAAATCAAATTCGTCGAATTAACGAAATTAATCAAATTGGTTGAATTAACAAAAACCAAATGCTCACACCCTCTTTGTGCTTCCAGTTCATTTTTCACGGAATTCTAAGTACTTAAATGAGTCATTCATCCAATGGATAATTTTTTGCTTTGAAACATAAATCATTGATATGTGTGATTCCTTTCATTCTCTTTTATTTTTTTATTTTTCATTATTATATTTTAGGTTTATTTTTTAAGCATATATTTTTTCTGTTGTTATGGAATCAAATTCAAATATTAGTAAAGTTCTATTGTATAGAGTTATAAGTTTAAATTTTAATGGTCAAATACATAAGTTGATCCTTATATATTTATCAGAAAAAAAAATTATAACATTTCATCCTTATATTATGACTTAAAAATTATTTAGTATTTATAAATTCTTTTTATAAAAATTATTTAGTATTTATGAATTTGATATTTGTAAAAATTATTTAGTATTTATAAAATTCTTTTATAAAAATTATTTTCATCCTTATATTATGACTTAAAAATTATTTAGTATTTATAAATTCTTTTTATAAAAATTATTTAGTATTTATGAATTTGATATTTGTAATTATACTTAAAAATATTATATATAAAAATCCGGTTAAACCGTATTGAACTTAGTTGAACCCTCTAATACAATGAGTCTCTACTTCCATTGATTTATTTACCGGTCCAGTTCTCAGAATCTTGATTTTTCACTTACGATTTGAAACTTCAAGAAAACAATAAATTCCCATTAAAATTGTTGTGCCAAAACCCAAAAATAATAGAATTTGTGGCCAAGGTTATGATTATTATAATTTATTAGTAAATACGTTTTTATTAAAGATTTTTAGAATATGTTCATTAATATTAGTTATTTTACTAGTTGTTAGTTGTTTTACTGGCTGTTAGCTGTTACGTGTTAATTTTTAACTGTTAACTGTTTATATAGCGGTTTAAATTAAAAATGTTTGGTAAAAATAGTTGTTTAACTTAAAATGATAAAAAAGACCATTAGTTGAATAATTTTGGAAGAACAATGGATATGGTTGTAAAAAATATTGGACGTTAGAGTGTTTAACATTCCATAAAAAGCTTGTTCAATCTCTAAAAGCCATTATAAATACCATGTTATACAATTGATAAAGATAGAGCTTTGACTTGGTCAAAAAGTGGTAGAAAATATTTTTCACTCTTATTTTTTCCTTAAAAAAAAAAAAAAAAGATTACACTTGCTCAACTTGTTCTTTTGAAAAATTGCACATTTTTGCACCAATTTGTCAATTGCACAACTTATTCTGCTTCATCCAATAGAAATTCATTTGTAAAAGATATGAAAAATACCTTGTTGGCGAATAGATTTGTAATTATATTAAAATGAATAAAGCTGTTATCAATATGTTTGTATCAATTTAAATCTAATAACTGAAAAATTCATTATAATGGTCAAATCTAAATAAATAAATAAACAATTAACACAAAGACTTTTACACCTCAAACAAATGATTTAATTTTTCTTTGATCACGAAAATATTTTTTGTTGAGTTATTTTATTAAACGCCTCAAACGAATATTTTTTGCAAGTTACTTTACAAAAATAAATGCAGTCTAAATCTACTCTTTTTTAGTTGAGTCATTCATAGGTATAATAGGAACAAAATTTAGTAATTTAATTAATCTGATATACTACGTAAATTGATGAATATAATTTATATTAATTATTCATTTGAAAAATAATGAATTTACAAAGAAACTTTTATCTAATCAAATATTATCAAATTAAAAATGTATTGAAGTTTATTGTAGCTAAAACAATTACCTATATTATATTTAGTCAAATATTGAAAAACTAATATAATCTTATCAACTTTTTCCCTCTTTGTATACTACTTAGACTACCAGCAAAAAATTTCCATTTGTAGTGCTCTCTTCAAACTAGGATATTATACTATTATGTTAAAGTAAGGTTTTTTTTCCATTTTTACTTTATTTTATTTTTTATATTTATTTTGTAAAAATAAAATAATAGTAATTACTATAGAAAATTGTAATAAAATTCTAATGTTAAATTAGTATACTATAAATATCTAGTTTATTAGTAATAAAATTCTAATGTTAAATTAGTATACTATAAATATCTAGTTTATTACGTCTAATCAAGTATTAAAAAAAAATTTAACATTTTAATAGTTTTTATTTTGTAATGTTAAAATAAATATTTTAAAAGGAAGAAAATGCTAAAATTTAAATTAGAGATGATAATTTATTGAATTAAATTCAGTCTGAATCTGAGACTACATTACAATAAAATTATTTATTTAATTATATTTAACTTTGATATAGAAAATTATTTATGATTTAATAAAATCTAACTTTAATATTATATTTGAGAATATATATATATAAAAAACCATAGCTACGTTGTTACTATTTTATGAGAAAGTGATTATTTACTCTCTAACGTTTGACCAAATTAATAAACATAAAATCTAACTTTAATATTATATTTGAGTATATATATATATTTGAAAAATAATTCGACAACCATAGCTACGTTATTACTATTTTATGAGAAAATAATTATTTAGTTCTTGACGTTTGACCAAATTAATAAACTCTTCCTTGTTGTTTGATTTTGTTAATTAACAGTCCTCTTAATTGTTGGGATCAATTTGTTGCGCTACTTTCCTTTCCTCTTAATTGTTGATATTTACTTGAAATCATAACAAAGATGTAGAAATTGAATTATAAATTTATAAGCAGACCTACACTTTTATATGCCCGGCTAATATTAGATTTCATTCTGTTTTTTATTATTATTATTTTTTAAAAACATGTGAGTTACACCATTAATCAAAACTCAAACCATCTCAATTTTGACAATACATACTAATTTATATATCTTATAAATATACATACTGAAAGAATCATAGTATATAAAAGTGAGTCAAGCACTTAGATCG